AGAATTTTAACTGTTGCTCTGCCAGTAACTGGGTGATACTATGCACAGTGTTCATTTGGGGGAGCCAGAAGTCAACTACGTTCTGGGGCCCTTCCAACTCAGAGTGTTCTGTGATTCTATGCACACACATGTAGAAAAGGCCTCCATGGAGGCTGGGCATTGATTACAGAAGATTTGTGTTGATGAGCTGTAAGCATTTCATCCTGATACATGCTTGAGCTCTAGGGAAGATGAGCATTTTTGCTTGGTATGTGTTGCTGTAAATGTAATGACTGAGTTAAAAAATGGTGGAATTTCCTCTTTCTGCAGGGGAGATTGTGGGTGGCTGCAGTGTGTGTGCTGCTCTTCTTCTGTTACACAGCAATAAAAGTCACTAAAATAATTAGCTGTGCATACTGCATTTGCACAGTAGACTTTCAGTGGCTGTCGCTGAGGGGAATTTACCCAAAGCAGAAAACCTTGGTGGTGTCTCTCTAACCTTGCCTGGGAGAAGTGCAATGAATTTGGTATGCTCAGAGATTTCACAGCATTGCGGGGGTTGGAAAGGACCTCTGGAGACCATCTGGTCCATCCCCCTGCTAAAGGATGTCCCCTGGAATTTCCTACCTCAGCAGCCTAATGAGCAATAACCCGAGGGCACTGTTGGGATTGAAAAGGCTAGTAATCAAGGGGGAGCTGCGTGTCTGCCTATTAGAAAAGGACTGGAGAGGCAAAGTGCTCCTCTTTCATAGGATCCCAGGATAAGATAGGATAGGATCCCAGGTTGTGGGGTCACACCAGAACTGCTCAGGGTTGCATCCAGTATTTTCACTGCTAAGGTTGTTCTCCAGCATGTGACAAGGGCCTCTGAGATGGGTCTAAGGTCCCCCTCCTTAAGTACAGTGACTGATCAGCTGTGGATCCTGTCACTGCCTTCACCAGCCTATAAGTATGCAAATGGTTCCTGATCTCCAAAGGAAGACCCCTAGTACCCTCACTGAGGTGCAGTTAGAACTCTATTGCAGTGCCTATGTTCCCTACTCCCAAAGAATGCAGTGAAGGGAGAAGCCAGCTGAGGTGTTGGATTTGTGCTGTGTGAAGGGTCCTAACACGTTTATGTGGCTTCTTTTTTCCCTGTCTGACTTCTGGAACTTCTCTGGGTACACAAAGGATTTGAATAGTTGGTAGATGGAAGATGTTGGCATCTTCTGTTGTCCCTTTCCAGGGGAAAAAAAATAGGAATAATTCTTCCCCTGAAATGATGAAGGCAGTTGATGGTTTTTGAAGCATCATTTAAGTGCAGCACTCCTTCTTTCATTGTCTGGAACTTGCCAGTATGTCACCCTGCTGGTGTAAGAATAGATCGACGCTGGAATGACAACTAATCTTTAATGTGAAATATGTTGTAGAATCTTTAATTTACATAGAGATGAAGCCTGCTTACAGGGAATAGAAATCAATAATGGCTTTTATATCATCCTCTGGGCAGAATATTAAATAGGAAACTCTGTGATGTATAAACTGCATCAAGAGATTACAAGCCAATAGTACTAATAGCATAAAAAAGATCCGTTTTGCCTTTCTTAATAAACTTGATATATTTGCAGTTTCCAGATGGTTTTTGTGTTCTTTCAGAACAATAAATGTGTTGCAGACGTTGCCGTTTTATTGGTGTTTGTGGTTATAGCAAGAAGCTTGCGATTCCAGAAGCCATTTAAACACATGAAAAAAAAAAAAAAAAGATGAGCCCTGCAGTCTATCCCAAATTGGAGGGATAACTGGCAGCAGCAATGCTACCTGAACAGGAGCCTTGGCCATTTTTTACTTAAAAGCCCTCCCATGAGCAGAGAGTTCTGCCATAGACCAAACTGCACTAAGTGTTACACTGCAATTACATGGAGCAGCGAATGGGTTTAGATTAAAAGAAGTCATTTCAGCACAGACTGTGTTGTCAGTGCATACACAAAGTGCAATGTGCCATTCCCAGCACAGCTTCCCTTGACCTGGACCTGTCCACGGTGCAACCCCAGCATTGGCCTGTGCCATATCTGGGAAGAGAATTGCTCCCTCTTCATTCTGCTGTTCTTCCCCCTGAGCTGGCAGGAGCCGGGTAACAATCTGCTTCCACAGCTCTGTTCTCCAGGCTCTATTTTTTTTACAATTTGCTTTGATCCTGAACAGAAGAGAAAGGTGACAATGAAAGAAAACATATCCATCAGAACAATGTCTCTTTCCCAGAGCTTGTCACAACATACAATACAATTAAGATTGACTGAACACCCACAGTTGGTACATAAAATTGTATGCTGTGCAGTTCATTGTGAGTCACAGGAGCAGGGCGCAATGAGCACAGCACGCCAGGACGTCTGCACTCCTGGCTGGGTCTCTGCATGCTGTTCTGCAAGTCTGAGCTGTGCTTGGGGAAGGTCCTGGGAACCAGGGATGGAGCTCATTTCTTCAGGTGTTAGTCTGAGCAGAAGGCAGCCACAGCTTGCTGTGCTTTGTCCACTACTCACTTGTAAGGAACATCAAGCTAGGCTTCTCATTCTGATGGCAGTACTGTATGCATGATGAAATTTTGAAAAGTTCTTCAGTTAGGCTGTTTTGTAATAGCTGCAAAAATAACCTTTTTCAGAGTACACACATTGATTTTCAAGAGAATTATTTAAAATCATGACTTCTGTGGGTCAAGGTTTTCTCTACAGAGTATCTTGAAGTACAGAAATGAATATTGAGCCAACTTGGCTATCATCTGTAGTGCAGCTTCTGCACATGCAGCAGATGCATGTACAGGCAGTGTTTCTCCAACAAAGCGACTCTCCAGTGCAGCATTTAAAGGCTTGTATCTTCATAGAATGGCCTGGGTTGAAAAGGACCACAATAATCATTTAGTTTCAGCCCTCCTGCATGGGCAGGGTCACCAACCAGCAGACCAGGCTGCCCAGAGCCACATCCAGCCTGGCCTTGAATGCCTGCAGGGATGGGGCAGCCACAGCCTCCTTGGGCAACCTGTTCCAGTGCATCACCACCCTCTGTGTGAAAAACTTCCTCCTAATATCTAATCTAAACCTCCCCTGTCTCAGTTTAAAACCATTCCCCCTTGTCCTATCACTATCCACCCTCGTGAACAGCCGTTCCCCCTCCTGTTTATACGCTCCCTTCAAGTACTGGAAGGCCACAATGAGGTCTCCCCAGAGCCTTCTTTTCTCCAAGCTAAACAAGCCCAGTTCCCTCATAATCCCATTTTACACTCCTTATTTCTTAATTTCTCATGCTCTCACGGGGAAGTCCTTTGATTTCGTTGGAGATGCCCTATCTAGGCAAATAAAATGTGGAAAATAACTTTAGATACTACAAATGCCATCATACAGATCAATTATTTATGTAAAAGGGAGTGGATTGACACTGTTTGTTTGGACTTTTTTTTTTTTCCTGAAGATGCATCCAATTTAATTAATTATTTCGACAAATGATTTCTTTCAAGGTAATTTACTTCAGTTTACCTACAGATAAGTCTTTTGAAGCACCCAGAGCCTGGATTCTACAGTCAGCAGTATGCAGCCAGCAGCACCAGGGAAGTGATCATCCCCCTGTACTCAGCTCTGGGAGGCCGCACCTCGAGTACCGTGTTCAGTTTTGGGCCCTTCACTACAAGAAAGACATCGAGGCCCTGGAGCGTGTCCAGAGAAGGGCAATGAAACTGTGATGGGTCTGGAGCACGAGGCTTATGGAGCTGGGGATTGTTCAGCCTGGAGGAGGTACAGGGGAAACCTCACTGCTCTGTACAACTGCTTGAAAATTGGGTGTGGTGAGGTGAGAGTCGGCCTCTTTTCCCAGGTAACAGCTATAGAATGACAGGGACTGGCCTCAAGTTGTGTGAGGAGAGATTCAGGTTGGATGTCAGGAAAAATTACTTCTTCAAGAGTGGTCAGGTGGTGGAATGGGCTGCTCAGAGAAGTGGTAGAATCACTGACCCATGAGGTATTCAAGGAACATTTGGACGTTGTGTTCAGAGACATGGTTTAGTGAGAACTATTGGTGGTGGGTGGATGGTTGGACTGGATGATCTTGAAGGTCTTTTCCAACCTTGGTGATTCTGTGATTCTATGATTCTTGAAGCGATCTAAACCTAAAAAGCTCATGTGAATGAATGACAAGAAATGCAGCAGACCGTTCATCATTCTGTCCTACATTATTTTTCCAAAAACGAGTCTTTCTTAGGACATGTTGCTGTCAGGAGTGTGCATGCTTTGCTGCATTTTCATTAGCTTCCAGTGAGGATCTGATTTCTCTGATGAGCAGCCATGCAGTGCTGGGTGTTGTGTGAGCACACATACACATGCTTGCCATTAAATGTGTACCTACAAATCCCTAGCAATACACTGGCTGTTCCTAGCTCACCGGTAATTTATGTAATTCAGGATTGATTTCAGAATGAACCTGAAAAAGAACTCCATTAACAGGACTTGCAGGGGTTGTGCAATGCGCTTCTCACTAATAGGAATTTCCACCCACCTTCATTTCCATGTGCATTCAGAGAGTGATGTCAGCATACTGCTCCAGGTGTGACTTTCTGTCTCCTCCACTGTGTGCCCTCTACCAAACTGATGGTGTTCTGACAGCCAGTAGTGCAGCTGAGGTCAGTGAGCCCAGGGCTCAGGCTCTTATTCTCTGGACCTGATGTAAGCAACCTGATACAAGTCACATAATTTCCTTCAACACTACTTTTCAAAAAGGGCAATAGGACAAAAGCATAAAACCAGATTTAAAAGCAGTCTGTGAACAGGTTTCCTAGCAAGGGGCTTGTGCAGTTATCTGGGACACTAAAGCACGCTGCTGTTTTCAGTTACATGGGCATTTGGATGCACTGTCAAATGGATAAGGAGAAATTTCTGTAAAGTGTGGGCTCCCAGTATTTCATCCTCTTATTGCAGCAAAATTATTTTTAAAGATGTGATGCCAGAGATGCTGGAGATGATGTAGAAAATAGGGAATATATAATAGTTCAGAAAAACACTGGATGCTATAGAAATTTTATTTCATGAACATCAATACCTGTTCATCAATGCTAGCAGTGTGCAGGATTTGTTTTGTTTTTCTTTTCTTTTTCTTCCCTGTGTATTCAGTCTTATGAAGTTGCCATTTTGGTAGTCCTGGAGATGGAAAGCCATGCTTCATGTAGGATTTGTGCCTTCTGCCTGTGCCTCAGCTATGTCACTTACGCGCACTCAGCTCTTTTCCAGTCTGGCACTGTGAATAGAAGAGCCAAATGTTAGAGCAATTGTGGGTCAGTCCCTATCAACAGATTGACATCACTAAGTCATTCTCAGTGGACTGGGAAATCATGGCTAGTTTTAAAATTTGCATTAAATATAGCTTATCTACATTAGATTCTAAGGTGAGGACCAGGGTATATCATGCCAAATTACCTGCAGAGGCAGTATCCTGCCTTGACTGCTTTAGATGATCTGACCTGGAGGACATCAAGTACACCTATAGCTTGGACTGTGAGCCATGTGGTTTCTTAAAGGACACATCTGTAATGCTATCTTTCTACCTGTTTTGGTCTATATCTGCTGCAGAGACAGAGACTCAAGTGTTATTTTTGTATTTGAAAGGCTATTTCTGCCTCTGGACATAAAGGCATTGTGGGCCAAGGAAGACCTTGGTCTAATTTAAAATAACGTTATTTCCAAAGCTGGTGCCCCACGGTAAATCTTTTCGTAATACTTAAAATTACAAATCATCACATGTAAGTGGAAAAAATAAAAGGCTGGGGGCCCACTGTACTGAGCCTGTGGAGGCACTGATGTTACTGTGGGTCACTGATCATAGTAAGAAGCCATTAAACCATGAAGTCAGACCACCAGTATTTTAAAGGCTCTTTTATTTTACACTCATTTATTCCCCTACACAGTCCAACGGCCCAAGCAACCCCATCATCAGCAATGGGAACCCATGTTTCCTGGGGAGTGTCACCCAATGCTTACATATCTGGCTGTTGAAGGAGAATGAACTTGCTTCAGCTTCCATCCATTAGCTCATCTTACATCATCTTTTTTTTATTCCTGGGCTCCTCAGATCTCCAGTTCATTCCAGATGGTTTTCCTAACACGCTATACTCATGTCACTTTTTAGCTTTCACTGAATAAGTGAAATAGCTTGTGCTCTTAATCCTCCCCCTGCCCATCAGTGTTCTTTATCAGACTCCTTCTGATGAGAAAAACACTTTTACAAGCATGAGAACAGATTGGGTGGCAACGTTGAGCACTATTCTCATCTCAGTGTATGGAGAGAAAAACAAGGCAAAATCATCCCATTCAAGGAGTTAAGAAAAATTTGTTCAACATAACCAGCCTTGGGTCCCCAAAGTGTGTCTGTCATTGAGCACTGACACACAGACCCAAATGGAGGTGTCCTCTGTGGCTGCTGCTGGTTGGAGAAAGTAAAAGTTTTATGCCCATCTTCAAAAAGGGCAACAATAAAGGGAACTACAGAAGGCAACTGGAAAAGCCAGCACAGCTTTGGCAAGGTCACAGCTACCTCTGTGGTGGAATAAGGGAGAGCAATGGGGCTCGTATCTTTTGTCTTTAGCAAGACTTCCAGTGTGGTTTCCCCACTGGGTACTCAAGGAAGGTATGAGAGGATGAGTGGATTTGCAGTCTGGAAGGCTGCCAGGCATGAAGGGTCGTTTGATTTGAAGTCCAGCTGGTAGCTAATGGTAGCTAATGACAAGAGATGTTCTTCACAGGCTGATACATGGCCAGTGCTGCCTGACATTTTCATCAGTGACTTGAATGGTGGGACAGGATCCCAGCTCACAGATAACACCAACGTGGGAGGGGCAGGTATGCTTGAGGGCAGAGCTGCCATTCACAGATATTACTGTTATTTGAATTTATGTTGGAAAAGACTTTCAAGATCACCAAGTCCAACCTTCAGTCTGACCTGCTGAGTCCCACCACTGCTCCATGTCCCTTAGTGCCACGTCTACATATCTCTTAAATATCTCCAAGCATGGGGAATCCACCACTGCCCTGGGCAGCCTGTTCCTGCTCTCTCCATTCCATTTTGTGGAATTCTAAAAGCTTCTCCTCAGCTCCTCTCTGTTACTAAATTTGTGTTATATGCTGAAGGTGTTATCTCAGGCTACCAGCACCTAGGGGACTGTATCCCCTTCTCACCATCTGTCTGCCCTCTCTACAGCTCAAAGCACACACATCAAGATAAAATCCTTCCTCTAGGCTGGTCCAAGCTGGCTCCTTCCCAACTACTCCTCTGGCTTCCCACTGTCTCCCCTCACAGGCACCTCATGTGTCATCTCTACACCTCACAGTCTGCTCCTGATGGAGAACAAGAGGGAAAGCAGAGCCAGAGGTTGTTTCCTAAAGTCTTTTATAATGTTCACTGTCGAGAGGACAGGTTCTCACAAAAAGCACACTCTGGCTCATTACTCTGTTTATTTCTGAAATGCCACATCCTAGAAGTCTGTGATGATGTGCATGCCTGGGTGCAGTCGTGCTCTTCTACTTGCACACTTGCTCTCTTAATGGCAGTGGAATTTTTCTGAGCCAAAATGTACCTGAGGTCAAGCGTTCGGCTTCTGGTTTCTCCATCAGCAACAAACCCATATGCTCTCCTGAGCAGGATTTTGTTTCTAGTTCTGTTTCTCATAGCTGCTGCAGTCCAGGGTAGTCATGGGGCTCTACACAGCTGCTAGGTGGTTTTTAGATGGAGTTTTAAGGATTGTTTTTGACTTGGAAAGCTGCAAATGGCCCTTGACCTTTCTGCAGAAAATATTCTCTCTGCTGCAGTTGAACGAATTGATGCTGGTTGCAAAGAAACCTCTCGGGCTCTGTCTCTACTAGGAACAAAATAAAGCCATTCTTCATCTGTGTTAGCAGAGCCTTATTGAGTATGAGCTTTTTTATAACTTTCATATTAATTAAGAGGTCAAGCAAACCATACACTTCTTACAGCCCTTAACCTGATCCAGAAGCTCCCAGCTGCTGCATCTCCAGTTGGATTTCTGCTAGCTGGGACTGAAGGTATGTCTCCAGCATGCAGTGGAAGAGAGTGCCCAGACCCCAAAGCCCTGCAGAACCCACAAAGCATCAGTTTCTTTCCCACAGACTTTTAGTGAAAGTCCTTCATGTTACTGGCATTTGCCCCTGCATCACCAAAAGGTTGATACCATCCTGAAGGGTGGACACAGTCATTTTAAGTTGTTAAGCTAGCGTGTGATGGTGTGCTCTTCTAGATGATATAAGGTACTGACAGGGAGGCATAAAAGCAATTTGGTGGAACCTATCTTTTGCAGGAGTGGAAATTGTTCAAAACTATAAAAAAAGAAAGATGCTAAACTCACTGTATTAATTTATAATTCATCCCACAAATGCACAGAGTAAGCTACTCTTACCTGCCACTTCCTCACAGCGAGCACTGGGGCAGGGAAGCAGGAAGGACAAGCAGCAGATACTTGTGTTTCCCATGTGCTTGACGGACCTCTTTCTGCTCATGTTGCCACCTGCTGTGAAGTGCTTTACATGTGCTTGCCAAGGATTCCTCATCTCTGAAAAAAATATCACTACTCTGTCACAAATGGCCTGAACTGTTCTGTATACAACCTCACCTTTCCATATGCAGACATCCTTCAACATACGTGGCTGCTGCTATGGGTTTTTCCTGCTGGTTTCTGCTGCAAGGATCAGTGCCCTGCTGACTTTTACCTCAGAACAGCTCTCCAGAAGGAAGCGCTCTCCACAGTGATATAATAATCAGGGAAGCTTTGCCTACTGCTGCAGCACAATTCTGTCTGATGTTAAATATTAAATCCACAGATATTTTGACACATGGAAAAGACCTGTGCTTGGGGAAGTCCTTTATAGTATGATTGAGCTGTCTTTTAAATGGTGTAAAAAATAACTTCTACGTGGAGGAAAAAGCAACAGATTTCTTGCAAATCACTGCTGAAAGTGAGATGACTGAAAGGGAAACAGCAGCATTTTGTTCTGTTTTTAACTAGACTAAAACAAGGTGTCGCATCACTTTGTGAAGCAGTGGAAAAGATGGAGATTCCACTGCTTAGATCTCTGGAGAGAGACGTGTATGTTTAATGTGTGCTCATTAAAAGAACCTTTAATAGAATCAAGTAGAAGCAGAAAGATGCTGAACAGAATAGAAGGAACTACTGGGCTCTGACAAATGCTTTGTCTCATCTCTTGAGAAGAATACATTCCCTGGTAAGACAAATTAAGTGTAAATGTGAAGAAAACACCGAGTCGACGTGAGTTGAAAATCAAACAGGTGCTGTGGCTCTGCTGTGTACGTGCTTCCACCAGCACTGCCAAGCTGCACATCCACGGGACAAGTCTGGCTTATGACACATCCACTGAGCCTGGTGACTTTTTCCCACAGGTGATCCATTACAGGAGTTTGAGCAGCAAACACATCCTGGACAGATAAGTGTTTGTCTCTGCACCTGCTCACTAGCTGGTGTCACAAGTGAGAGATCAGCCTCTCCATACGAGCAGCAACCAGCACCCTGGAGCCCCTCTGCAGGCTCCCCTTCTGTGAGCAGAGAAGACCAAGGTTAGCAAATGCATGGTGGGAAGCAGAGGTAGGTCACTGCTGCCATCTGAGGAAGGCTGCTGCTGCTCCTGGTGCAAATTGGGCCAGTCTGAGCTAGCTTGTGAAAACTGTGATGGCAGGTGCAGGGAGTTGCAGTAAACTAAGGCTATGTGCTGTCATCGGTGCCTGTTTTGGCAAAGCTGTGGCTGGCCCAAGACCGACTAGCCATGACCAGAATGAGCCTGCTGACTGAAATGGACTGAGCATTAAGGGGTCATGACATTTTTCTGTGACTTCTTCCTAGAAGGAAAAAAAAAAAAATAAACACAAAACCAGCCTCAGCACAGAGAACTACAGGGACTGAAAATATGCTGCTTAATTAAAAATAAAAAAGCAATCTTCAACCACAACAACAAAACCATCTGCTTTATTAGTTCTCCCAGAAAGCTGTCTGAAGGGATTGGGAATCCAGCACTGACAATAAATCCTAGAGTCTATTTCAACAGCCAGACTGCAGAGGCAGCCAAAACATAAAGGGAGAGGTGAGCTGCTGCTGCTGCTGCTGCTGCATGGCCCTGGCTGCATGGCCCACATGCTACCTTGCCAAGCAGTGAACTCAGCCATATCTGCAGAGGAACAGAGCCAGGCTGAGCCCAAGGGGAGTGCAGAGAGGGTCAGTGGGAGCAGAGTGGAAGCTTGCCTTTCCCTCTCAAGAGCAGGGCATCTTCATGACCTCTCGCTTTGATGTCAGAAAGGAAATACATTTCTACCAAGCTGAACTGGCCAATCTGGTGCCTGAGACTTTGGGGGTTGTGAGGACAGGCTCTCTTACCCTAACTTGCCTCATTCTCTGTGCCTTTCTGCATCCCTTGCCCTGTAAGTGGAATGATCTGGAGTATAAATTCTTGTCCTGAAAATCCTAAAAGGAAGCACTTTAGCTTGACAGATCAAAATTATGATGATAGCAAACTCACTGCATCTTAAAAACATGTTTATTTAGGCTCTCTGTCAAGCGTGATTTAGACCTCGTATGTCATGATAAAAAATAAAGATGAAATGAATTCTGGTAGGCCAGAAACGGGAAGAAAGTGTCCTGGTACAGCAAAATACCTTTTGTTGTCAGATAAAGAACCCCCTGAGTTGAAAGGCAGTCTTCATAATTAGCATAACTTAATGCAAAGGAAAGGGATATAACATTTTGGCAGATAAATATATTTTGGCTGTGGGGTGAAGGCGTTGAGCTGCTGGCTTTAAAAGCAGTTCTACAAAGATTTACTTAGGGCCATTTAAAAATAACTTTAAAAGGTGGCTATGACTTGGAAGCTTTTAAAAAGCCTGAGTATCTGCAAATGGAATTGTCTACGACATAGGTAACAGATCAATGGTATTTCTTACATAGTTTTCAAGCGATGAGGGTAAAATATCTGTTAACTGTGCAGGCCTCACACTTTGAATAGATATTGAAATTCTGGCTGTGGGACACTGGTGAGGTTGTAGGTACTCTCTGATTTCATGCTATAAATAGAGCCATTCATAATCATTTAGTAAAAAGAGAAGATATGCTCTACTTAGTCCAAATGTCCACCTACCCAGCAGCCTGTCTCCAATGTGACCTACAGACACATAAGAACGTATGAACAGGAACATGCATCTGCAGCACTGCAGCTGAGTCTCCTTGAAAAAAAGGGCAACACTGAACTATAGCTTTAATTTCAGCTAGTGAGTCTAATGCAACAACATTTTCTTTTGTTTACTACAGCACAGCAATTATTTCATGTGCTTGATGGACAAATAGCTTTCAATTACTTTATCCTTATAAATACACTTTCTATTATCGGCCATGAAAGTTTTCTGTTGTATATCCATAATAGAAAAATTCAGCCATTTCCTTCTGTTCAGCTCCAGACACAGCTGACAAAAATATCTGCTATCCAACCACAGTGCAGAGAATGCTATGCATTAGGAAAGGAGGCAGTTTGGGATTACTGGGTGAACCAGGCATTGCCAATACCTTCAGTTCTCTGTTAATTCCAACCACCCTTATTAGCAGTGCTGTTTCCTGAGCTTGTGATGCTGCTGCACCACTTTGCAAGAAGGATGTTATGTGCACTACACAAAGATGCAGCCAGGATTTCCTCCAGTTCCTTAACACCATTAATACTTCCATTATTTTAAAAGGAATCCCTTTATAATTCTGGCTGAGTACCATTAAGATTTGGCAGGTTTTTACAATTATTTGATTTATTGATCTTGCCAGCCACTTTGCCCTCCTGATGAGATTTTCATTTGAGACTGCTACTTTAGACTTGTGGTCATGCACAGGGTTGCCCAAAGAGACCTTCAGACAGCAACGTGATGTGAATGGTTTTGCCCATTTTCATGCTTCTCCACCATCTTTTCCAACTCTTACCCCATCCTCCTCCCAAACAACTTGACCCTAGTTACCTTTTCACTATTGGTTCCCATTTTGGTATGTGTATACACCAATTATTGCTTCAGTACTGTTACCTAGGTAATTTTAGCCTTCTACTGTACTACTGAGGTGCTCAATGAAGCAGTGCTGGGCCTGCTGGATTCCAGTACCAAAAGATTCCCAGCATCACCCTTCAATTACCTGCAAAATTTGGTTGCTTCCCACCGAACTCCCCTTACCCTCCTGTAAATTCCAGCCACCCTTTGTGGCATTACCTAACTTTCTTACACCATTATCTGCCATGTAGAACAATTGTTCCCATTTCAGTCGCTGTTTTCCCACCCTGCTCAGTAAGCTCAAATTTGAGCCATCTTCCTGCTGCCCCAGCAGTCAACTCTTCAGACTCTTCTCTCTGCAAACAAAATATCCATCATGAGAAGATTTCTACGTCTCTTTTAAGAAATACCAATGCAAACAATTCATTTTACTTTCCTCCACAGTGTTTTTATCACTGTCTATTTTTTGTACTTACTGTATCCACAGACTTCAGCCTGAGCAAGCTTCCTGCCTGTCACAGTTTTTATTAGAGGTTTCTTTATGCTTTGACATGTTGTGCTCTTCAGAGTCTTCTATGATTTGCCTTATTACAACTATACATTTAACTACTCAGAGATCTTTTCATTTTGGGTGTTTTGTTTCTAACAGCCTTCTTAACCCAGTGCTTAATCTCACACTTTTTGATATCCTCTCCGCCTTTTTTGAGAAGAATACATTTATTTTAGATGCCTTATTGGGGGTTTTAGAAAAATCTGTGAGCTGCCTGCCAGCCATTCACCATTTTAGCTGCTCCTTTTATTAGAAGCAGAATTCATCCTTGCAGCATTACCTCATTGAAATGGATATTATGGCTTCTCTTCTAAGGGCGCTGAATTTTAATAAATAGCTGTTGTTACAGAGCATTTATTTGATAATTATATGTTGAATCTCAGCCTTTTTCTTCTTCTCATTGTCTCTATCAGCAAAGACAGAGAAAAATGCGCAAAGGAGAACAAGACATGCAAGAACCAAGCCTCTACCTTTACAGAACACATTTGATATCAATGTATTATATATATACTTTTTCATATTTATTGCAATGTGGTTTATTACATCTTGTGGCTTCTCTGTTAGATGAAATATTTATTTCCCCTCCCTCCCTATTGTTTCTTCCCATTAATTTTTATTCAATTTCCAGCTTAGTAGATTGGTTGATTGGTATAGCCCAGGGGTCTAAATTGGTATAGCTGCAGTTGATGTTTAGTTAAATAAAAACTGTGTATCCAATACATCCTTATCACTACTGTGCTGTAGAACTGGCTATAATTGAACTGTAGAAAGAGAAACTGGTACGCCCCAGCTTGCCTCCTGCTCCTCTCCATTACATCAATTCTTATTCTCTAGAGTAGACAGCTTGTGCCCACACGTCTGATATGAGAGCAGGAGAGGAGAGCTATGTCTCTGCTGTATGGCAAACACCACTGAGATTTTCTCCAGCTGGGAAGGCAGAAAATACAGCTGAGTTGCAGGACTGCAGACCTATGCAGTACAGCCTTGCTCTCCATTACTTACCTGACCATCTGTCAGTCACTAGATAAGTTCAGAAGTCAAGTTTTCACTGACTACGATATGGAATGGTCAGCTTTAAAGTTAGAGACGTAGCTTTTCCAGCAATGTGCGTGCCTGAAAAATAAGATGGGTATTCAAGAAAATAATTCAAAACACACACACACACACACAAGTGAATTCTCTCCCTCTTTCTCTGAAAATGAGACAGTTGACCATTTTCTTTTTGCCTGTCTGTCAGTCACATTGGAAACACAGAATGGATTGTGCTCCTCATTTAAGCTATTTAGCTGGAAGATCAGGCCAAATGAAACTAAAAGAATTCAAGTTAACATAGTTTCTTTCAACTCTTATCTACTCCAGTTAATGATCACTAACTGAAACTGAAACATTAAGTGTCTACATCCAGGTAGTAGATCCCCTACAGAGCCTCTTCTACAGGGCAGCTGACTTTTCTTCACCAAGATTTGAGCATATACAATGAAAATAAATGGCAGAGGGCAGAAAAGAAGCAAAGTAGAAATTAATTAATTTGGATTAAAAAGGTAAACTTGAAAGGATGCTTTGGTACAACCCCACATTCTAGAATTCCTTTCAGATCTCCTTTCAGACTTTGTGCAGAAAACTGGAGCTCCTGCTACTTCCTTCCATGGTGTCAGGGGATCAACAAAAGTTCAGCTGAAGTTTGCTGAATTTACCCCTCCTCCAATTCAGTTGGTATCTTCTGCCATCACTTTGCATTAGAACACACTTAACTTTATATTTTTGGAAGAATACAGTTATGCTGCATGAAATGTGAAATTCAATTAAATGGACAATCATTCTTTTTTTTTTTTTTTTAGAAAGGAAAATTTATTTATAGTTACATATACCACATATAAAATTAACATTGAACTGAAACATGTTATCATTTCAATCATTTATGACTAAACACTTACAATGTTGACTACAAAACTGTACAGTTCATATTTTGTAACTGATGCTTACAGCATAGTGCAATTGTAACTGTTTATTAACAAAATAATTTGTGCCTTTTTTTTTAAATAAAGTGCATTAAATGACTATCTTGTATACAACAAGAAGCTCTGTAGGTTGCAATCCAAAGCTTTAATCTTAAGGGAAACTGAGGCAAAGATGTTTTGCTTCCCTTTAAAATGATTTTATATACTGGCAAGCTATGGTTCAAACTTCAACCACAGTTAAATCGAGAAACCTAACTAGTATAAGAGATAACCACCACACATTGCTACGTACTAAACCAGTAACTGGTTCTTGTATAAAAGCACAACACACAGAATTCAAATTATTGTTTTAAAGCCATTTGTCTCCTAATGGGACGTGCAGTCTGAAAACAATCCCTGTGCAGCTGCTTTTGTGAAAGCTTTTAGAATTCCAAATGGAACCACACTGCAATCAGAAGTACCGGCAGTTTGTGTGAACTGTGCAGTGTCTCCCAGGAAAAGCTCTCACTGAAAAATCCACAGATGGGCATGGTAAACCATAGGTTATTTTTAATTGTATTTGGCAAGAGAAAGAAAGCAGGGGTCTTGTTAGTAGGCCTAGAAAACTATGAGCGGTTCTATCGGCCCAGGGTAATCTAAATTCTATGACCTGGAGTGGAATACAGAGTTTTATAGCTTTCTGTCAGAGGCACAGTTATAACATTCTATGAAATTTCTTTGTAAACACATTTACAATCAACTTTTGCAGGTTTTGGCTGTGACAGTAAAGCTGAGACCAAAAAAGGACAATGTAATGGTAGATTTTAGACTAAGGCATGAAAAAAGGATAGAAGTCTAACGTGCCTACTTTTAGACAAAAAGAAGGAAGCCCATTTCCAAGAAGAGTCCATACTGTCCTCCTCTATACACACCTGGGACTGCTATTGGCTGCAGTGGAAAATGCATTTAAGCCCAGGCAAGTAGCCCTAGAGACTGCCTTAATATTTTGCTGTGTACACAATCCATTTACCTGTCTTTTCAGCTGCAACACCCATTCCATGCTATTGGCACAAATTACAAGCACTGTTTCCAAACTTTGGAAAACTACATCCTGCTTCTGTACAGGTTGACCTGTGGGATCAGTCTGAGTCCAGGAGCAGACTACCACATGCCTTCAGTGTGCTCTGTGGACAGCTGTGTAAAAAGCTGCATGCTGGGGCATGCCAGCTTCCTAAATAGTGAGTTATTCCCTTCCTCCCAGACTAAAGGCAGACTCTGCTTACAATGAATGGGAAATGCAAAAGAAAAGAGATGAAGTTAGGCTTAAATGTCATTGCAGAAGGCTATTTCATATCATCAGAGATCAGAAAGATCTCTGCTGCGAGCAGAGCTTGCTTCCAAAGCCAGCATGCTTTGACCCTGGGATTAACACTGAAAGCAAAGCCCTACTTGTGTGCCATTTTGTTGTGAGCTCTGTGGGGCAGGGGCACCACAAGAAGGGCTGAGTGTGGCTCACGTACTGAGGGAGTAAGCTTCAGAGTGGAACCAAAGAGCAGCAAAGCAAAAACCCATGGATGGAGCACAACTCCCTGAGCTCCACAGGGACATAAAAGGGATATGGCTATCTCCGTTTCCAGAGGAACAGCTCACACTGCTTTCATTTGTGTTCTGTAAAATAATAACAGCTGAACTCCCTATTATTTTGATGTGTTTCATCTTAGCACACGCTGCAGTAAGAGGAAACTTCAGTGGGTACCAAAATTAATCAAGGCATAAAGAGCTCCACACGTTGGTCCCAAATTTTACAGATCCTACCAGGAAAAGCCGAGAGAGAGAAGCTATCAGCCTGGAGAAGAGGAGGCACAGGGGGATCTCATCAGTGTCTGTCAGCACCTGAAAGGAGGGTGCCAAGAGGTCGGAGCCAGGCTCTGTCAGTGGTGCCCAGTTCCAGGAGCAGAGGCCATGAGCACACGCTGATATACAGGTGGTTCCCTCTGAACACCAGGAGCACTGTGGATGACAGAGCATTGGCACAGGCTGCCCAGAGGCTGTGAGGTGTCTTCCTTGGGACCTTTCAAAATCACATGGGCACGGCCCTGGGTGTCCTTGCTGGAGGAGCAAATGGATTCCAGAGGCTCCTTTCAACCTCATTCTTCCCTGTGGTTCTGCAATGTCTTTTTCCAGAATGCTTCTAAAGCACACGTGTATTTGGGGTGCTCTTTAAAAATAAATACAGAAGATTTTTAGATACTGCAATACCCTGCAGGTTAGCATCAGTCGGTGCAAAATGTGCACCTGTGTCAGATGACTCAGCAGACTGCTGTTTAGACTCGTGATCTGTGCAGTCCTGTTTCCAAAGCATTTATGAAAGACAAATGGAGAGAGAAGAGGGAAAGATGGTATGCAGGAACATATGACTGCTATATAGGCTCGTGCCAGTGGTAAATAACCCTCCTGTACTCTGTGATAGATGTGACCATGTACAATATGCTTGTAAATTCCAGAGATGGGTATCCGAATTAGAGACATGAGAATTCACAGACAATCACACAGAAGGACAGAGGTGGGCAGGGGCCTTTGGAGGTCACCTTGCCCAATTCCTCTCAAGCAGGGACACCAGAGCAGGGCAGCCATACCCAGGTCCATGTGAAGATCTCCAAAGAGGATGTTCCACAGCCTCTGGGCAGCGTGTGCCAGTGCTCCGCCACCTGCTCAGTAAACAACTGCTCCCTGATGTTATAATTTCACAACCCAACTATTTTGTGAGAGTCTATTTCTTGGAAGTATGAGGTCATTTCATTTTCTAAGGTAGATCTTTGTTGGACAGTCTTCACCACATGCAGTTAGACTTGCTTTGTCCATGAGAAAACAAGAGTAGGTCTGAGCACAGACATCATGGTACACCATATATTTGGGATCAAACAATTTAAAGGATTATCACCAGTATAAAGAAAACATGAGCAGTTCACTCATTTTTTCCTCTGAAAGTAGATCAGGTAAATTTTCAGTGGGAAGCAAATGCTCAAAGCTGCTTAATTTAAAAGCACTGCTGATACATTTGAAAGAGTTAAACTATAAAATCGTGGGGTTAACACTGATTCTCTACCTCTTCTCAGTTAAGAAATCTATTTATGAAGCTCGTACAGAGCTATGAATTTATCAACGCATTGTCTTTCAAAAGGTTCTACTGAGTAGAAATCTACAAAAACCTTTGTATATAAGCTTGTATGTAAAAATGCAGCACTGTGCTTATGCAAAAAAATGAGGCAAGTTTTTGAAATAAAAAGGACTGCTAGTTTTATAAGAGAGAAACCCTATTGTCACCAGTTGAATTACTCTTTGCTACTGGTTTGATGAAGGTCTTGAATGTGCAACAAATGTTTCTAAGTACTCAGGATTTTAAAAAGATCTGTTTTGTTTAGAGATAATCATAGAATCCTTAGAGTTGGAAGGGACCTTTAAAAGTCAACTCCCCTGCAATGAACAGGGATCAGGTTGCCCAGGGCCTAATCCAGATGCATCTTAAAAAGCTTCAGGGATGGGGCATCCACCACATCTCTGTGCAACCTGTGCCAGTGTCTCATTATAAAAGACTTTTTCCTTACATCCAACCTAAATTTCCTCTCTTTGAGCTTGAAGCCATTTCCCTTTGTTCTATCACCACAGACCCTGCTGAAGAGTCTGTCCTCTGCTTTCTTACAGCCCCCCTTCAGATACCAAAAGGCTGCTCTCAGGTCTCCCCACAGCCTCTTCTTCTCCAGGCTGAACAGCCCCAGCTCTCTCAGCCTGTCTCCATAGGAGAGGTGTTCCGTCCCTTGGACCATTTTTGTGGCCCTCCCCTGGACACCCTCCAACAAGTCCACGTATATATAAATCAATTCTGTAGTTTTGGGACAGAAAAGTCTGCTCCCAACCTGGGGGAGGAACCCATAGTATTATATCTTGTTCAATCTTGTTACATCAGCAAGAATTTGCCTTCATGTATGTGGAGTGTGAAACAAAAGATGTGGGGAAGTCAGAAAAATTTCCTCAAAAGTTAATTCAAGGAATTTGGGATGGAATGTTTGATTGAGAATGTTATTCTCAATCCATTCACAAAACCTCCCCTGGAAAATTTTCCCAAATCCTTTCAATGGCACTGAATTAGTTTGCATCCGAGCACTGAGGCACTACCTG